CCTGTTCCGTTGTCTTCGCTGTTCGTCAGCCTGTTGCGCTTTTTCAGTCAGCTCCAGAACTGACACTGTTTAACTGCGCTGCTGATTGCTGGTTTGTCAAAGAGTGGAAAAGAGAGCCAGGAAATTTTGATGAATTACTTGTCATTTCATTATGTCCGCTACAGCGCTATAGTTAGTAGTGTTCGTCAGAATACTTACATACTCTAGTACTACCAGCCACCAAAAACCATACAGGGCTCTGTTTAGTTTTCCATAAAACGTTCTTTGTTGATTTGAAACTTCCAAGTTTGCTGAAATTACCTGAATTATTAATTTGATGTACCGGATATAGTTGCAGCGACGCTTAGAACAGCACTGTGTCAGGCCATTCTGCATCAGACCACTCATTTCCAGTCCTCATGAATGCTATCTTTTGCGCATGTCAGGGTCGTCTTATTTTTTAATTTCACATAATGCATGCTAAGCAACGTTCACCGTTGCTTACGAAACGCTCCGGTTTTTTTTTTTTTTTTTTCAATTTAGTGCATCCGTTAGAGTTGAGGTTGTTGTTGACAACAGTACAACGCCTTAAAAAGTGTGTTGCAAGTTGATGACCGGAACTGTGATCTTCGGCTTCTTAGTGGCACTTTGGTTTAAAGTACCATTTAGAAGCTGGCCTCATCAGTCTGTTTCGGCGCTGACCTATTTGTATTATACGCAGAGAATGGAACCAATTTTAAGTTTTTTTTTTTTTTTTTTTTTGTACAGTAAACAGAAAAGAATAGCACTGCCGCTTCATGCGCAGAATTGTTGATTACAAAAGGTGTTCTCAGTTGGCTACAGCCTAAAGCATTAAGTTAAAAGAGATTCCGTTTTAACTGAGTTCAGGCGTTCGTTTACTGAAGCGCTGGCATTTAAGCTACGAATGCACAGCATTCTGGCTATTTTCTGCAAATGCTTTAAGTGAAGCATAAATAGTAACGATGTAGTTAGTGGTATCCACAAAAAAAAATCACCGTGCAAAAAAAAAGACCCGAACGCGATGAGACATGGCTTAACAGATATCTTGGACAGATGCTGGGCCATGAATAATTCAGAACAGTAAATTCTAACTTGTATAAGCTGAAAATGTAGATGCATCTCGGTAACATCGTAGAAGTCGAGTCGGAAACACTTAATGCTGACAAAGCCTGGCACTGTTTACAGGAGTTAATGGAAGAAATAAAAAATAGGAGGATCCAATTACAATATTATCTTTACAAATTCCTGCATCTCAGTTCTTCTTGTTTACAATCTTCATTCCCCGTAATTTTCGCATTCGAGAACCTCGTAGAAATCATCCAATTAAATCCGTTCGTCATTCGCGTTCATCCGTCCCTCCCCACCTGACCGGCGGTAATTCTTAATTGAAATGACCTGGGTATAACAGGCAACTGTAAAATTCTGTGCTCCATTCCTTTCCATGCTTTGCGTTTCTATTACTTTTTCTGCATCCTTCACTGATCTTTTTTCTAAGCACTTAAGTATTTGTATGCTTGAGGATGACTGGTAAGAAGGAACGAGGAGGCCCCATAGTTGCTTGAAAAATCACACATTTTACTGAACAATCAACATTTTGATTGTATAACTCACTGCTCATGTAACACACAAAAAGTATGAATTGCAAAGAAAAATAAGGTCAGTGGGGATTAAAGTTATAGCATGCAGTAGATAAAACCACAAGTAAGCAGGCTGTTTTTCATCCTCTAGCCATGAGCACAGCACTGGAGCAATGGAAATCATTAGTACAGCCTTCTACCAGCGCGTAGAGAATAGACTTATTTATTTTTTGCCGAAACATGCGTGAGGGAGATTTGTTAACACATTGTAAGATAAAAACGAAAGGCGAAGGAATAAGGTAGTGTCTACAAAAAGTATCACGAAAAAAGCTGTGTAAGACGGGCTGTTGCGTTTCACGCGGAAGACAGAACTATCCGCTTTGGTTTTCTTCGCCAGTCGCTCAGTTTGAGTCACTGGTGTAAGAGAATGGGATGGTTCCTCAACAAAGTCATAAGTCCCATACCTTAATCCGGTTAATCTGAGTGATTCTTTATAAATCAGTGCATTGCTAGCTTCTGTTCTTTATTTGTTAAACGGTTTTGTCTACCAACAAGCTGGACCGACTTAGTGCACGGAAGCATCAAGATTTTGGATTTTGAGTGGCTCGTATTGTACAAATAAAGTGCAAGTGTCCAGCGACTGTGTGCTCTGTGTATGGATATCTATCACTTTTACCACTGAAGATAACGATATGCACAGGCGTCGTAAATGACCTTCTGCGCAGCGCAACATTCCACCACTGGTCATCGCCACTTCATACTTACACAGTACTGCCACTAATCCTAAGATTTCAACTTCTGCTCCGGCAGTCATCGTCCTCTTAAAATTACTTTTTTGAATAAGGTAAGCACAAATTGTCGGACTGCTCTTAGCTTGTTCCCTGCAACTTTTTAATTAGAGTGATGGAAATACAATTGTAGCCAGGTAATTGTTATCGCTCTTAAAGTTGTACAGTGCTGCTACAGTAGGTACATTTTCACTCTTAAATATTCCTAGTTATATATTTTACTTCTAGACGGAGTATGTTGATTAGCTTATCAACAGCTGGTGCACATCAGGGAGTTGGAATTTTGCTGGGACGCTTCATGCCCATATTTTTGTGTAACTGCTAATAAAAATTTAGGTTGTGGTGCTGTTGGCATCATCTTGATTCGAGAACCTGACTAAGTAGAAAGTTGTATTTTCACTAGATTGTTTGCTACGAATGTTAGGCATATGTCAAAATTTAATTTGCAAATTATCAGCATCTTTCTATCTAGAAATCTGAAGGCTAGAAAGCAACAGTTATGCGTGAAAGCTGTTTGTCTGTTTGGAACTCTAAAGGCGTAAAATCAACTTTCATGTACCTTACATTTGCGCCTTGAGTGCGTGCATTTAAAATTTCTACTTGCAAAATTTTTGGCATCCTCATTTTATGCTAACCAAACATGCTAGAAAGCTGAAATTTCACGAGGCTCCACGCTGTAGCATCTGTGTGGAAGAAACCCCCAACGTATGTGTACATATGAAACTGTAAATTGACGAACGTTCTTCGTTTTTAAAGAAAAAAAGCTATATGAATGTGCGCAAAAGGCACTGTCGCACCGGCAATATTTGTTCGCTAGTTATTTGGAATGAAAAGCATCAAAATTTTGGATTCGTGGCAGTTATAATTTTATTAACAGTCATAATTTCACTGTGCATGCAAGTGTAATGTCTAGGCCAGCAGAGCTTTAGAATTGACCTTAGGGGGGTCAATCAGTACATGCTGGATCTTGTCTTTCTTCATTCTCCTTATTTTTATCCAAATCAACGCCGGCACTTTCTTTCATAAAGTAGGAATACAAAAAATAAACATGAGGATGTGAAAGAATAAAAATTGGTGAAGGTCAAACGTAAGCCAAGTATACTGTCGCAAATCCTTATTTTACTGACATAATAGCGTTTCTTCTCGTTTCTTCTCCGACCGATGCACACCATCTTTTCAGTATTGGGCGTCTGAGGTGTTTTTTCCTAGCAAATAGCGTTTTTCAATTCTTTTTTCAAACTTACGTTTTGTGCTAACCGGTTCCTCATTTTTGAACTTTCTCCTTCCCTTCTCTTCACTCGAACTATATTGATTGTTACTGAAGATGTTTTGTACTGGTCGTAGCCCAACCGGTTCATGCATGGTTGTCTATGTAATACTTGCGATTCCAGGTACTTTGTTATGAAATATTGGCCGGTATTTGCTTGATACCAGATGGACATCCGAAAGTATTGAGAGCTATAACGGAAGCTCGTGGAATCCTTGGAGAAAGGACCAGATTTCAGCATCTTGTAGATGATATTTATCGTACTTATCGCAACGACCGCGAAACGGAGCGAGTTCGTACTGCTGCAATGAGCCTCATCAATGCTTTGCTTAGCACTGGACCAGCTGAGGTGAAAGTCGCTTTGTTCCCTATTTTCTTCCATTCATTTCAGTTTCTCTTATTCATCGCTATTTGAGAAATTATCAAATCTTCCTGTTCATTTTTTCAAAAAAAGAAGCAGCAGCGTATTTGCCTGTTGGGCAGTGTTGTGGCTTATTGGGCAGCGTATTTGTCTGTTGGGCACTGTGTTGAACACTATCACTGAATTAGAGGTTCGGCTGTAGAAACCAAAATCTTTTCACTTCGCATTTGTTTCTATGCAAAGATGAACCGGCAGGTGACGAATTTACTCACTTCAGCTGCCACCCGGCTGCTTCTTGGAGTATCCGTCTCGGAAGCGGAAATCATTGGCAGAACCTTGCTTAGCTGATTGGCTGCTATCGGTCTATCTGAGCGTCTTTCAAAGCATGAAAAGGCTGCATCCGCTTTTTCGGGCGGTGACTGCGAATCATTTTTTTTTTCTGTTTACTTTTTTTTTTGATTTTTATGCGTTTTTGCTGGCTGTAGCAGCGCTACAGCCCTGCTACAGCCAGCAAAAACGCATAAAAATCAGCAAAAACGCGCTATAGCGCTGCTACAGCCAGCAAAACCGCATATTGTCGAGAGGCTGTGTGTGTGTGTGTGTG